TCGATACATTCGTAGACCAATGCTTACATCCACTGAACTTCAAATTTGATATCTTGTCCTTCTGTGAAACCAAATTAACTACAGATATACAACATCTCTTTAATGTACCTAATTACAATGCCTATACCAACAATTTATCCCGCCAAAGTGGGGGTGTGGCCTTGTATGTGAGGGACTGTCATGATTCACAACTACGACCAGAGTTAAGTATTATGGAGCATTGCTTAGAAACTCTTTTTATAGAAATTAAAAATCAGGAGGTAAATCTGGTGGTCGGTGTAGTTTACAGACGACCTCACACGGATTTTAAACACTTCCTTGACAAAATGAAAGAAATAATAGAAGCAATTAGCGAAGAAAACAAACATTGTATTATTACAGGTGATTTTAATGTAGATTTATTGAAGAATATATCAGATGCTAATGTTCAAGACTTCATAGCCCTATTCAATTCAAAATTGTTTTTTACATCTGTCACCAAACCTACACGAGTGAGTCCCACGTCAGCCACGCTGATAGATCACATTTGGACCAACCAACTATCCAACCATGTAACAAGCGGTGTCATCCACACAACCATCTCTGACCACTTCCCCATCTTTTCAACTTTCAAAACCCGCCTGAATCGGGAAACAAGGAGGGGAATAAATATAACCTACAGGGATTTTAACGAAGGCAGAATTGATCAATTTAGGGATTCCCTAAATAATGTATGCTGGGATTTAGTTTTGTGTTCAAATGACCCTAATATAGTTTACGATAACTTTATCACCATTTTTTCAGCAGGGTATGATAAGTATTTTCCTGTAAAATCTAAGTTACTCAAACCAAAATCACATGATAAACCCTACATAACTCCAGCAATAAAGGCTCTTATAACTGAGAAGAACAGGCTCCAGCGCCTATTTGCAAAACGGCCTATTACATATGGAGATCAGTTCAGACGCGCGCGTAATCATCTCACCAAAGTGATTCGCTCTGCCCGCAGCAAATACTATACAGAGAAATTAAAGGCTAACTCAAATAACTGCAGGAACACATGGAAGATCATCAATTCAATTCTGAACAGAGATAAATCTCAGAATCAAACGATAGAAGTAGAGGAAGGTCAGCCTCGAGATTCTACTCAAATTCCTCACTATATCAATGATTATTTCGTTAATGTTGCAAATAACTTAATTAACAATGTCCCCCATCCATTCTATAGTTTCATGAATTTCATGGGGCCTTCGTACAACACAAATCTATCTTTAAATCCCGTAACCGAATCCGAACTCTCTGAAGTAGTAAATCAACTGAACAACTCTGCCCCCGGTTATGATGGCATCACAGCGCCAATAATTAAATCCACTTTGCCTGTCATTTCCCGTCCCCTGCTCCACTTGTGCAACACTTCACTTACTACGGGTATATACCCAGACAAACTCAAGACAGCAAAGGTTACTCCTGTTCACAAATCAGGTTGCAAAACCAATGTTTATAACTACAGACCAGTATCAGTTCTGCCCGTAATAAGTAAAATTCTGGAAAAAATAATCTATATCAGATTGGAAAATTATCTCATACGCAACAGTATTCTGTCAGATTGCCAATTTGGATTTACGAGGAATAAATCAACAGAAATGGCTGTTATGTCATTTACAAACCATATATACAAGGCCTTTGATAATAATGAATTCACTGTTGCTGTATGCCTAGATTTATCTAAGGCTTTTGATACGGTTAACCACCCAATTCTGCTCTCAAAACTATCTCATTATGGTATCAGGGGCTCTGCAAACCGCTTGTTTCGTTCATATCTATCTAACAGAAATCAATTTGTTTCATATAATGGATCCGATTCAGATTGCCTTCCATTATCTCATGGTGTACCACAAGGGTCACTGTTAGGGCCTCTTCTTTTCCTGATCTACATCAATGATTTGGTGAAAACATCCTCGTATCTGGAATTCATCTTATATGCTGATGACAGTAACCTCTATGTTTCAGGTAAAGATATTAATCAACTCATTAGTAACATCAATAGAGAACTCAGCACTATCAGTAATTGGATTTCTTCAAACAAACTAACGCTAAACATTGTTAAATCCCATTATGTCATATTTAATCGCAATAAGAAACTTCCCCCTACACTTCTGCCGTTAATATTAGAACATAAACCCTTGTCAAGGAAAACCGAAACTAAATTTCTCGGAGTAATCATTGATGATAAATTATCGTGGAAAAGTCATACGAACAGTATTCGTCAAAAACTTAATAAACAGTGTGGTATCTTGTACCATACTCGTGATTTTCTCACAATGAATGCCCGTAAATGCATATATTTTTCGTTAATCTATCCACATCTAACATACTGCAATACTGTCTGGGGAGCTGTCAATGAAACCACGCTAAGACCCGTTATAACTGCACAAAAACGAGTAATCCGAACCATTGCTGGATTAGGCAAATATGACCATACCAATGAGGCATTTTCTACACTGAAACTATTGAAGCTGAGAGATATAAATACCTACTTCTGTGCTCTCTTCATTTTTAAATGTATTAATATATACGAAAATAACTTATTTCGGTTCAGAAATGATTTAAGATATCCTCTCCGATCAAACTCACTATTAAAACACCCAACTATAGGCTCAAACCAATCCAAAACATGTATTTTATATCATGGGGTAAGTGTATGGAATGATCTGCCCTCACATCTCCACAATGCTCCGTCACTGCTGTCATTCAAAAAATCGTTGAAAACCCACCTATTACATATGTCAGAGTGAATGCTAATGTTTAGGAATAAGTATATATACAGGTACATAACAGCGGGTATTCATGCATCTGTACGAATGTTTACATAAGTGTACAATGTATCTATGTAATACATGCAAATGCATGTAAGGTTAATATAAGCATATTTGTGTGTGTGTATATATATATGTGTGTGTGAGTGTGTGTGTATGTATGTACATGTATATATATGTATATGTGTATGAGTATATTCATATGTATATGTATATATGCATTTATGTATATGTATGTGTATATACATATGTTTGTGTATAGGTATGTATGTTTATGTGTGTGTGTGTATATATATAAACTGTATATGTATGTATGTTTATGTATGTAGGTATGTATATAGGTGTGTATGTGTGTATATATAGATATAATCTTGTGCAATATATTATTTTAGTGTTTTTTTATGAATTAAGTATTTTTTTATTTGCAACTTAGTCCGATCTACTAGTCTACTAGTCTGTCCTGTGTTATGTGTATATGTGTATTTAGACATAATCTTGTGCAATATATTATTTTAGTATTTAGTTTTTTATGAATATAATTATTCTTTTGTTACAACTTAGTCCGAACTACTAGTCTGTCTTTTGTTATATATAGCATATTGTATATTTTCACCTTTTACTGTTATCGTCTTCAATCCACCTGCGAGTGGATTGACAGAATCTAAGAATTTAATACACATCAATTCCCTTATAATAAGGTGCCTCCTTAAGAGAACTTGTGTTCTCAGGAGGCTCAGCCATTCTATTGTTATTTTGTGTATATCAAACTGTTTTTATGTATATTGGCTAAATAAACGTTATCAATCAATCAATCAATCAATCGCTCGCTCACTCACTCGCTCACTCAATCGCTCGCTCACTCGCTCACTCACTCGCTCACTCGCTCGCTCACTCATTCGCTCACTCGCTCACTCACTCACTTGCTCGCTCACTCACTCGCTCACTCACTCGCTCGCTCGCTCACTCACTCGCTCACTCACTCACTCGCTCACTCACTCGCTCACTCACTCGCTCACTCACTCACTCAATCGCTCGCTCACTCGCTCGCTCACTGACTCACTCACTTGCTCGCTCACTCACTCACTCACTCAATCGCTCGCTCACTCGCTCACTCACTCGCTCACTCACTCACTCGCTCACTCCCTCGCTCACTCCCTCGCTCACTCACTCGTTCGCTCACTCGCTCACTCCCTCGCTCACTCACTCGCTCACTCAATCGCTCGCTCACTCACTCGCACGCTCACTCACTCGCTCACTCAATCGCTCACTCGCTCGCTCGCTCACTCACTAATTCACTCGCTCACTCACTCACTTGCTCGCTCACTCACTCAATCGCTCGCTCACTCGCTCACTCGCTCGCTCACTCACTCGCTCGCTCACTCGCTCACTCACTCGCTCGCTCACTCACTCGTTTGCTCACTCGCTCACTCAATCGCTCGCTCACTCGCTCACTCACTCACTTGCTCGCTCACTCACTCGCTCACTCTCTCGCTCACTCAATCGCTCGCTCACTCGCTCACTCAATCGCTCGCTCACTCACTCACTCACTTGCTCGCTCACTCACTCGCTCACTCACTCACTCGCTCACTCACTCAATCACTCGCTCACTCAATCACTCGCTCGCTCACTCTCTCACTCGTTCACTCACTCGCTCGCTCACTCGCTCACTCACTCACTTGCTCACTCGCTCGCTCACTCGCTCACTCACTCACTTGCTCACTCGCTCACTCACTCGCTCACTCGCTCGCTCACTCACTCGCTCACTCACTCGCTCGCTCACTCGCTCACTCACTCACTTGCTCACTCGCTCACTCACTCGCTCGCTCACTCAATCGCTCGCTCACTCACTCACTCGCTCACTCAATCACTCGCTCACTCACCCACTCGCTCGCTCACTCACTCACTCACTCGCTCACTCGCTCACACACACATTGATTTATTTGATTGTATAATGTTGTATTGAATACTGGCTAATGTTATTAGTGACAGCAATAATCAGTAATAATTAATAACTGAATCACATGTCATTTTAGTGCCTGGATCTTAAATGTTATTTAGTAAGTCATTATTAAGTTTATAATAGTATTTACAGATAAATCTTTTAAATATTTTGCTGTAGCTGAATATTCCAGTGTTGTTTAGTAATATTTTACAGTGTTATTTAATAACTGAATCCTGTAATGTTGAATTTCACTGTATTTGCAGGTGGACTGTTTTCCACAGTGATCTCGCCAGCACAAGATGTGGACTACTGTTGCACTCGTGATAACGGTGATTTTCATTATTTTCTACAAAGCCGCTTTACGACCACCATGCTTTCCTCCAGGTGAATGACTCTGCTTAACTCTGCTTTATATATATTGTTTTATATTTTACTCTTTGAAAATATAGTTGTCAAAACTTTGAATTGTCTAGTTTAACTCTTAATCATTTTGTTTGAGTACAAGTGGTGTCTGGTGGATTATATCATTTGCTAAGCATTACATTACCTGAATTACAACAACCAGAACACAGGAGAATAGAGAATAGAGGAGAGAGAGAGAGGAGCAGGAGACAGTTTCAAGGGGATAGGGAGATAGAGAGGAGGAGGAGGAGCAGGAGATGGAGGAGAGGAGGAGGAGGAGCAGATAGAGAAGAGGAGGAGGAGGAGGAAATGGCTGAGAGAGGGAGGAGGAGCAGGAGGCAGTTTTGAGGAGATGGGGAGACCAGAATAGAGGAGGATAGAGGAGAGAGAGGGGGGAGCAGGAAATAGTTTTGAGATGAGGAGACCAGTGTGTCCATATCCCTCAATGTTAAAAACATATAATCTTGTAAAAAATAATCACTTTTCCTTATTTGAACTCAAATAGTAGTGCATATTTCCACATTTGAAATAAAGTGATAATGGGAGAGTGTCATGTGTAGAAAAAGGTAAGAATGAATATCTTCAAAGTGCAATAAATGTATTTGACTGATTTTAATTATATTGTCAGATATAGATGTATTTCTGGTGAAGACATACTTGAAAACAGTCAAATATATCTCTTGCACAGTGAAGATATTCCGTCTCATTCATACTGTTTTCTACATTTATTACAATGAATGAGTTCACTTTGCTCTTGGCTACTGTAACATTAGCCAAGGCAAGTATGGTAAGGTTATTAATGATTTTCATTATCATAAAGAGACCCATTTATGCTTTAACAATGGCTTTCATCATAGACACCATCTTCTAATAAAATTAATTGCTTGTATTTTCGAAGAAGGGAGTGACTTCATACTGCAAACTGAATGGTTTGTCCTGTCAAAAAGTTAGGGAAATATAAGGTCCTTTTGAAACTGGAAGGGGCAGGAGGGGGGATTTCCTATTCTTTTTGCTATATGCCAAATGTAATCAATGTGTCATTGAAAATAGTAATACTATCCAATATATACTTCTAGGTCCATTTGCCTTGCCAATTGTGGGAAGTGTTCTTTCCATCTTGCCGTCACCAAAGGAATCCTTCAACAGATTTCAGAAGAAATATGGACCTATATGTAGCTACAAGGTCTTTGATAACTGGTAAGTCCATTCCAAGTACCTAATGAAAGTCAGAGATTGTGTAATAAAGATTTGTTAGTTTTCAGAGGAAGTGCAGATTATTTTTGATATATGACATCTCTTTTAAGTTTGCTTTACAATTAGACACAATGTATATAGATAAGTAGATTGATAGATAATACTAAAACAGCCAATTTGTTTTTATATGATCAAAACAATGTTGATTTTTAAATCATCATATATAGTTATGTTCATTTATTTTAACATGATTTGAAAATGTGAATAATGACAATATTTTTCAAAATCAATGCATTCATTAAATCCTCAGGTCCATCATCGTGAATGATCCAGCAATGATGAAGCCACTTCTTGCAGATCCAGTATTTTCTGGACGCAAACACCTTTACCTGTTTTCGCTGCGAGATGAAGTTATCAGTGGGAAAAAGATGCCTTTGGGTTAGTTTAAATGTTTTTCATCTCCTGTGTCTTCTTTATATTTTCTTCATTTCCCATTTTTTCTTTTATCACCTTTTTTTGTCATTCATTTTTTGTTTCTCTTCTCTTCTGGTCCTATTTGCCTTGCCTTTTTTTTTCTTTCTTCCTTTTTTAAAATTTTCACCGCATTTAACCTTTCCATCTGTACATATCTTTATCTCACTGTATTTCTCTAATGATACAAAGTATTATCAATTTGTCAAACAATACTGGATAAGATTTAATTGTTATATGTATATATATATATATATATATTTATATATATATATATATATATATATATATATATATATATATATATATATATATATATATATATATACACTATATATATATATATATATATATATATATATATATATATATATATATATATATATATATATATATATATATATATATATATATATAAAATTTTCCCCCACAATATGAATATTTTGTACATTATAAACACTTTCAGGCATATTAGGTACCAGTGGAGATGTGTGGAAGAACCAGCGGCGCTTCACACTGAGGAGCCTCAAGGACCTGGGATTTGGCAGAAACAGTATTGAGCCAATTATGCAGAAGGAACTAGAGGACTTGATTAACACCTTTTCTCAAACCGAAGGTCAAAAAGTTGACGTTGGGGTAAGAGAAGTAATGTATTTTTTAAAAAGATTTGCAAATTATAATGACAGGAATTATTCTGACAGGAGCATTGGTAATGAGATGCACTGTGTTGTTTTTTTCAGTTGACATTCAACAGCAGTATCATCAATGTGATTTGGGCGATGGTTATCGGGAAGCGCTTTTCTCACGACGATGTCCGTCTGCATGAACTTGTTGATAAAGTCAACAAGATGCTGCAGTCCTTTAACCCTTTCCACCCAGCTTATAGGTGGTCTTCTTTGTGTTGGATATCTTGAATATTCTCTCTCTCTCTCTCTCTCTCTCTCTCTCTCTCTCTCTCTCTCTCTCTCTCTCTCTCTCTCTCTCTCTCTCTCTCTCTCTCTCTCTCTCTCTCTCTCTTTCTCTCTCTCTCTCTCTCACTCCCCACTTCCCTCTCCTCTCCTCAGTTACTGAACTAAATCCTTTGATATTTACATTTGAAATAATTTTTCAGTGAGAGGCAAGCTGGAGCCAAGAAGTAACAATGCTATGAACATTTACAGATACCCAATCATTAAGAAGTTCTTCCCAAACTTGGATGTATACAAGAGTCAAGATACTTACATGAGACAACTTCTCCAGTTTATTGAGGTTAGACTCAAGGAACAGGACATACAGATGTTCATGTGTGAAATTTATAAAAAACAAAAACAAAAAAAAAACATATATAGTGCATGTCAGTAAATGTAATTGTTAATATAGTTAGTATAATGTATGAAAATAGCTTTCATGATAAGATGTAGCTTTACCTTGATGCATGGAATTTGACTGATACTAGCTGATATAATCTGGTTAACCCATTCACGCCGGGTGTCACGTATATGGGACGGGCCCACTGTGAGTTTACTTGTTTAATTGTTTCCACTCATAGATGGCTGCACTTGTACTTGTACTGCCTGTCTCGCCTGTTTACCCTTTTCTTTAATTTACGAAAATATTATACGTTATCTTATGTTGCTGTTACTAACATTATAGTAATTATAATGTTTATAATAAAAATAACCATCGATATTCACTGTAATAGTAAAATTACATTTTCCCGCCAAATGAAATCAGGTAAGGCAGAGCCATCTAGTGTAGAAAATTTTCACAAAAAGTATAAAAATTGAGCACGGCATTTTCCCCCATTTTTTGTTCATTTTTACCCGGCGCGAATGGGTTAAGGATGTGAATGTTGCTATAATAGAGAGCATTTAATTTTAAGCAATATAATGATGATATTGAATACAGTAATGGATAATAATGTGACCATTTGGGAAGTAGAAAAATGCAGTATAGATATTTGTAAGATAAATTTTTAGTTTTGAAAATCTTTCAGACAATTTGTCCTTTCCTGATTTTTGCAGGACGAAACTGCTCTATATGAAAAGGAATTGTCAGCTAATGAAAGCTCCTTTAGTTATGTTAGTGCATATCTTAAGGAAATGAAAGAAGCAGAAACTGAAGGGAAAGAGACACCATTGAATAGTAAGTGTTCATGCAGGTGCACATATGCACATGCAGACACAGACATACTCACACATGCACACACATTTTGTCCGTAAATAATTGCTGTATTGTGTATTTTCTTTGTAGCAACAGTTAAACCAATATACCATTAACATATACATATTAAGTACATTTTTTTCCCCTGCAGTGCATCATCTAAAGGCCAACATCTTTGAGCTGTTTCTGGCTGGAAGTGAAACAACTGCGTCTACTTTGTGGTGGGCCGTATATCTCTTGGCATCTAACCCAGACGTCCAAAAAGCTATACAGAAGGAATTGGATGAAGTTCTTGGGGAGGATAAATTACCGACATTAACTCATATGGACAGGTAAATGTACAGAGGTTTGATAATAGAGAGGTAAATGTATAGATGTTTTGTGATGGTTTTACTTATGTATTATATGATTGTACCTCTATCATCATCATAAGATACACAAAAATAACCACTGGTCATCAAGTGTCACTGATAACATCAACTTCCAGGCCATAATAATTATTTGAGTATTAGAAGAAATATTATAAGAGGCAGCAGACCTTTCCATAACTTTCTTGAATGCAGATTCCTTTATAAATAGTCCTGGTTTGGTTACTAAGGCAGTTGTTACAAAGATGGACAGCCCAAGTAAGTACTGTATTTGTGGGTTGTGATATTTAAGAGAGTTATGATAGTGATAATGAGCCATGTTGTGTTTTTTTTCTTATCATTATCACAAGCCACTTCAAGACCACAACCCACAGTATTCAGGTATTTTGTTGAAGTGGATTTGTGCTTGCAGAGTTAAGGAAGATTGGCTAGATGCAATATATCTGAATAAGATTGTTGTATTTTAAATAATTATCATAACTGGCAGTTATCAAACATTTAGTATCCTTTGAATCAGTCGTAAGTCAGTTGCACCTCAACCTCAGTAAGGCAAAAGGAGTAGTATGGGAAGAATTCAGATTCCCAAACTAATCTGCTGATAATGCTTTACTCTGGTTGACAGAATCCATGAAAAGAAATACGTTACTTTCATGATGATATGATATAGCTGCAGAAGTTTTGATTATTGTTCTCTCCTGATTATTCAGAATGTGAAATTATGATGGTTGTTTTGGGGTATGATTCTAGGAAAAGGTGATGTCACTGGTGAATTATCTCGCTTTGAAAAAAGTATTTAGTCTGATGGTCCTATTCAAAGGGTGGGCTTTCATTATTTTTGTTATAGCTTTACCTTCCTTTCTTTCTTGTTGCATTCTGGGAAATAAGTTCAAGTCATGTGCATGATCATTTTCTTTCACTATCTGCTATTGCAAAACATGTTATTATTGGTTCTTATTTGTAGTTTTTTTTAATGTAGGAATTGATTTACATTTTGTATTACATTTCAGTTTGCCTTATACAACAGCTGCCATATATGAAGTGCAGCGCGTTGCAGACCTCGTCCCATTTGCAGTTCCCCATGAGACAACCGAGGATGCAACTGTGTCTGGCTACCACATCCCTAAAGGTGAGGAAAGTTTCTTAAATTTTGGATGATGTAGGAATTTCATGAAATGTACAGTAATGTTTACATTTTAACATTAACATCAGATTTCTGGACAGAAGTTTTGGTATAGTTCCATATTTTGAGTGCACTTGGAACACCCTAAAATACTAGTATTGATAATGCTCCCCAAAATATTATATGTTCACATTTTTCTGCCAAAGCCTTTATTTTAGGAATTGAAAAAATGAGATAATTTGCTGCTAAATCTAAATGCTCTCATCCCAGAAACATTTCTGATGAACATTTTTATTTACATATACTGCAATATGTATGGAAATATTTGAAAAATAATAATTACAGACTGACCACACCCACTTTTGTGAAGTGTAACCCTAAATACATTTATCCGTTTTTTGTCTTGATGATGATAATCAATTATCATCATTATAATAACTATGATCATTATAATAATAATAATAATTATGATCATCACATCATCATCAATCATCATCAATCATCATAAGTCATCGTCAATCATCATTATCACTTTAATCAGTATATCATTCAGATAATGATTATCCTTTATCCATAACAGGCACAACAG